AGTAGAAAACTGGTGGAAAGTGAGGTAGGTAGGTAGACGATGCTACTGCCGACGGAATTTGCATAACAAAACGCGCAATTAATAAAGTTCCACGACGGTGGAAACTACCGACAAAAGAGCATTTCGTCTTTTCACGGAGGCCAAACCCTACAGCTAAATAAGTCAGACTTTGTAAGGAATCCGCGAGCAAAACTTGGCAATCTTTGCAGGGCCAGAAAGCGCGTCAGCTACCAAAGCAACTACGTACTTTAAATATTTTAGTGGATTCGCTCACTTGCAGTCCGAAACTTTAAGTACTCCTGACAGTCGCGCCACAGTTGCCACAAACAAAAAAAAAAGGAAACACAACGAACAACCACCTCAGCCAATTCCCTAGCACAAGGGCAAAACAATTGGCACCAATGAAAACTAATCACCGAACGTTGATTTTTGAGCCAACAACCAGTCATTTGTATTACAAGAGGTAAATAACAACGGGAACATATCGATATATGTATGTAAGGATCTTCATTGAACGTAATATCGACATATTGACGTTATGGCTTATGAAATTGGGTAGGCACGAGTGTAGCATTCTTAGAAATGACAGATCAATAGATACATCCGTCTTAATAATTATTCTGATAGCTAGCTGTCAAAGGAATTTTGATCAGTTTCATGAATCGTAGTCTAATTAACGTAATTAATTTCTAGGATGAATCTCTCATGCCTCTAGAGTACTATATCTATATTTTGGTGACAAGTTTACAGATTCGAAAGTTCGACGAAGTATCTTTGCAAATTAGACATCATTATTTATCGAAGTGAGTAGTTTGCATCTGTGGATGCACAAGCAGCTTCCCTTAAGTCAAACAACCAGTCAGCAGGAAGAAGATGGCACTGCTTAATATTTCAGACAGCCTGCAGCTAACTTCATGCATACTTATGGCTGCGTACGTGACTCTTTGCCGAACATCCCCGTAAACCAAAATACGAATTGATGTCTAAGCAAATGTTTGCGGCATTCTTGGCGCTTAGAATCACTCTCCGTTTTTTTTTCACTTTCTATATCTCTTTCATTTTATCGACCCTTTAGCTGCATTATCTTATTTGTATAATAACCATTGGCTTGTTTCATACGAACCCTTGGTGAATCCGTCGATACGATAGATTGAGAGAAATGAAGATAATATGAAAATATGGTTCTTCATTATTTAATCAATTTGCTTTGTTACCTGGCAAATATTCTATTTTAAAAATCCAGGGACCGTTGAACATTTTTTATTAGGATACTTTCATTGTAAATGAATGGCTGAGAGTTTTGTGGATTCAATATTTCACTTCAATAAGAGAATAAACAGTTTGTTTTAATTTAATTTTGCATTTAGTCTCTTTCTAAGCGAAGCAGCTATTTAGGAATTTTAGACATGTGTTCAACTTTAAAAATTCGGAGAAAGGACTAGTGGTATATCACATATGTACTGTAAGCTCACATTCACTCTTAATATCAGAACAGAGTAATAGATCTCGGCGCATGCGTGATAAATATCCGGTAGTTCAATTTCACTATGGACCTGTGCAAAATATCTAGAAAAATTGAAAATAACGATTCGTACTGTTCGATGCTATTTTTTTGGTTTACAGATATCCGCTTATTCCACTCACTCAACGTGGATATTTGAATTTTATAACTACACTGGTTTGAAAAAGGATACTTCTATATACATGACTCGAAACATATATATTTTATAAGGTACGAATAGCAAATACTATATTAGACATGTCATCCAGGATACTGGCTGGCTGTACAGCGATAGACAATATCCCTAATAGATTTAAATGCACTTACAGTACTGCGTAGTGCAAGCAAATGTAGCACAGTAAACAGTAAGCTAAGGTGATTTAGTTTGCGAGGAAATCTCGCCAGATATTACCATTACAATGATACAATAACCCATAGGTGAGCTATAACTGTCATAGTTACTGTACCTCGTCAAGTAATCCAGTAGCATCAATTCCTTTTGTAAACTAGTTTTAGCTATTCCATAAAAACAGTGCATGAAACCTTATGTAATTACATAGTCCAGGAAAATTGCAAATAGTAACGAAAGATACTTTAAAGAATTTACTATATTTATTTTTTTCGTTGGACGATTCCTCACCAAACATCTCTTGACTACTCAACTACTGCGAAACGATTGTACAAAAGTACTTTGTCTTGACGATAGACTGCTTGATAAATCTTCAAATTTTTTGCTTTTTATGTGCGAAGAAAATGACGCTATTCACCAGCTCGCAGAATTGGCTCGTCGAAGTGAACCTCCATATACGTAATTCTAGTACGCAATAAAAACAGTAAGTTAAAAACGGTGACCACCCCATTCGGGAAGTTGAGCCAACAATATGGCAAGATGTTTGATGACGTGATCAATCACTGGCCCTGTCAGGGCTGGAGAAGGGTGTGAATGTAAGTTAGCAGCTCTCTTCAAGTGTCTATGATGGTAGTGCTCTATTACGAACAGTGTATTACCTACATATCTATACGTTGTGTTACTGAACAGGTGCTCATCCATAGCTGACATGTTATCAAAAGAAATTCGAAAAAAAAATTATCAAAAGCTTGCGCTGAGTTTTTCCTCCACGATGATAAACGATTCAGACTTACACTAATACGGTATTTGGATTTTTGAAAATTTATACAACAATCACTAAATGATTTTGATAAGGTTGATTCAAGAATATTGAATAGGCACGAGCTCAGTTTTGACAGTGGTTTAAAAATGGTGATTTTCTTAATATATAATATTGTTACTACATTACAGTTCGCGAAAGACGTACTTCTACGGCTGAAGTCAGTTTTATTAAAATAATAGCAAAGAGATTGCTTAGGTTCCTAGAGGACAGGGCGCACTTCGAAATAAAAGGGTGCATTATTAAAGATGTCGAGTATCTTCGTGGGCAAGCAATGGCAAGCAATTCCGAGACTCAGAATTGAGCAATTTTTCTGTATTTTGTTTACACATGGTGTCTACATTATTCCATTGCCGTTCTGGAATACCATTTGCATTGTTAATAGAATCCAGCGTAGCGAGCGAGTCTCTTATTTCGATAAATAAGTAACAAATACTCCTTTTTAACGTGCTATTCTCCTTCATTATTCGAATTTCCATTTCTATCGACCTCAACAATATTGACAAATCCATTAAGTCCTTCAGTAGTATCGCACGCTTATTTATAATTGATATAATCGATGGTACAGCATATATGCTACATTGATTTCGTAAGCAGGAGCAATCGACGCGCAACAAATGTAAAGACGCGTTCACACTACCCGACATCGATTGAATAACGACTACTTGATACTGTACGATAAGTAACGCAATGTACAGTCAAGAAGACGAGTTTCGTTTATGCCTACTGATACGATTTTTGCATTAAAGAAATGTTACCCAATCGAAGCACTCGGGTAGTATAAACGCAACCTTCAATTAATACGTGTAGCTTGTTCAGTGTATTTATCTGTTAAGTATTGTATATTTGTTGTTCAGTTGTCAATACTGCGTCAGTAGAAAAGATAACATTATCTGTCGCGAACCGAAAGTAATCTAAACATGACACGGTATAATATTCTTCGTGCTTGAATCATGTACAGATCCAAAGTAAAAAAAATAAAATATTTATTAATCGCGAAAGAAACTTTCAAGGGTGATATCGTTTTTTCGTGAAAACTTTCACTTCCAGCGGATCTGTCGAAATAGTATGATACCCTGTTGTAATCATTAGGTAAAACTTTTCACTGTCAAAAGAAAAGTTGGCGTTTTCAGAGGATCGCTTTGGTTCCGCAAGGGATGGGAAATCGAAAGTTCGCAACTTCGTAGATACACGAGAACAGAGGGAGCAGACATTATATATTTATACTTGAGTCAGCATTGTCTCGAGAAAAAATGTCAGCCATTTTCCATCCAATGCAACGTACTCGGTTTTTGAAACATGGCCGCAGCTCAAAAATGTTCCGAGTAAAGTATCACCTGCTCTCCTCTCTACTCACTGTTCTCTTTCCTTCTTTCTGTCCCTTTTTCCCTCTTTCCTTTTTTTTTATTCTCCTACCAACCATTTTGTTTCATGATATGGGCTACAGTACTCGCGGCGATCCGTAATATTGCAGTTGGATGAACTGTATGTGAAATATGAGAAATTTTACCATGCATTTTGGTATGTGGAATATTTTATCAAATGTTTCATAAACTTGACTCACTGATGATTGGTTTTATTTTTCATCGGCTACAGAGAAAATGGATGAAAGATTTCTTTTTCTATTTGTAAAATGTCATATACATTTTATTTGATGAATTTAATATAGCAATGTCACATTATGCATTTGATGACAAAGATGTAATTTTGACGTGGCTATTAGAAAAGGATTTTATCATATCGCTATGGGAAATCAGAATTATAAAATAATTTTCATAATTTCAAAAATTCGAACCTGTTACTAATACAGAAATTATTATAAATAGGTAAGTAGACTTGACAATTCTACATTCGTATACGATAAATATATTCATTAATCTTCCGGGGGTAGCACCTAGTTCTGGGATACTAAGTGTCGTTGTGATGCGGAGCGAGAGTCTAAGCGTGAGCCCTGGAAGATCAATATAAACTACCTACTTGCTTCATTAGATTAAAGTAATCGCCGAATTTACTGCTACAGTTATATTCTTAAATTTCCCTGATTTACTAAATCACTAAATATAACATTACTTAAAAAGATATATGCAGGCAATAGATTATAATCTGTTGATATTATGAAATCTGTGACTATTTTTCTTATAATTAAAATATAATTTTCACATGCTGGTTTATAGTATAGGTATTTGTAACCATTGAAGTAATCAACAAATTTTTATAATATTGTGGAAGTGTTACTAGCATTACATTATTAGTACATGTTTCATTGCTATAAACTCTAAGTTTATACAACCTAAATATATATATTTTTTTTTAATAAAAATATAATAAGCTACAGTTATACGAATATAATTTATTTTCTTGATTCGATTTTTATCCAAAAGCCATTCACAGGGCCCGGCAGGACACTGTTTGTACTAAATTTCATAGGTACAGTTGTTTTCTCGCATGGTCTAAAATTATATTTCTTTAATAAATGAAAGAGGACTAATTTACATTCCATTATTGCGAATCTATTTCCAATGCAAATTCTTGGGCCAATTCCAAAGGGCAAATATGCAGAAGGAGTCATTCTCTCACTACCGTCTAAAAATCTTTCAGGATCGAATTTATCAGGTTCGGGAAAGTATTGGGGATCATGATGAATGCCATAAACGGGAATAATTATTTGAGTGACAGGTTTTACGGTACATGGCTTCGCGCCTGGTGTAGCTGGAGGGAGTTCAACACTTTTTGTACACTCCCTGTTTAATTCCGCAACTGGCGAATACATCCTCAGTGTCTCATTAAAAACTGCATCGAGATATTGCATTTCCTTCAGATCGTCGTAAGTCATCTTGCCGTTAGATTTTTTAAGAACTTGATCAATTTCCATTTGCAGCTTCTTTTGAACTTCAGGATTAGTAGCAATTGCATAAGCAGTGAAGCACATGGCAAGTGATACTGTATCGAATCCACGAAAGAAAAATATAAATGCTTGCGCAGTCATATCCTGAATAGTCAAATCTGCAGCTTTTCCAGATTCCTTGGCCTGTATCAATAATTGCAACATATCTGGTCTTTCAATCTTCTGAGCGATTGTCGTAGCAATAGTTGACGTAATGATGTCTTCGAAGAAGTTTGATACCCGTTGATTAATTATTCTCAATTTTAATGAGTTTGTCAATTTCGGATTTACCTGGCCTATCATGAATACCATAGATTTAAAAAATCCAAAGGTTGTCGCGTCCTTGCCCATTTTATAAAATTCATTGTCGCGCTCCTTCATAGAATTTACGCTTATTCCAAAGGCTGTTGTTGCAATTATGTCGTTCGTATATCTCGAAAAAGCATCCCTGATTTCCACGATGTTTGTATCACGTTGTGTTGTCACAAAATCTGCGAATTCGTTGGCGCAGTTGGACATTAGCTCAAACATCATTTTCATTTTGCTCGACGTAAAGGCGGGGCTCAAGATAGCTCGCATTTCTCGCCATTTGTTCCCGCGTAAAGAAAAGAGATTTTTTGCAAAAAGTGGATCGAGTTCTGGATTGGCCAATGGTTTATGATCCACAAAATTGTCAAAATGTTTAATTCCAATTTCTTTGATGAGTTCAAGGTCCCGTATCATTATTGATGGTAACGTAAAATCATACATCCCTGCGTACTTTGCTTTTGGCATTGAATCATATAACAGCTTTGATTGTTCTATAAACGATCTTATCCTTAAAATCACTGGTCGCTACGGTCGCTCCTTTGCTACGCCCACTATAATGTGAGATTTCAAATAAGGAATTCCCATCTTTTCGAAATAACTGTGGTGTCGTTTTACGTACACGTATATAAAACCAATTAATGCTGTCACTATACCGACGGTCCATACATTCCACCATTCCGAAAAGCTTGCGATGAACGTGTACATTTTTGTACGAATTTCCTTTGTTGCACGAAAACAAAATTGTGTTAAATGTCAACTATTCATATATTCCGAATAGCACAGCTTACTTGAGACTGACCGCACAGTGAAGCAAACTCCTACTTATGTACGTAGATTCGTGTAATCTATAATTTCATATTATCAATATATTTTTTCAAAGCATGTTATGATAACATAGGACTGACGAAGATTATATAGAGTTAAAAACATATTTATAGTATATTTTTATAGTCGGTTAAGTCCTCTTATCTATTTCATGAACTACGATAAGTTCATCTTTATTTACACGATATCGCTCAACGTTTTTTCATATTACACGTGCACATGAAGCAACACTTGATTTAATACAAATAGCCATTCTCAACAAATACTATTGTTTGACATATGAAATCTCAGTATACTCAATTGCATGTAACGTGCTATTCTCTCAATGATTTGGAAAAGAATGATCCTACGGCGAATACATCCTCAGTGTCTCATTAAAAACTGCATCGAGATATTGCATTTCCTTCAGATCGTCGTAAGTTATCTTGCCGTTAGATTTTTTAAGAACTTGATCAATTTCCATTTGCAGCTTCTCTTGAACTTCAGGATTAGTAGCAATTGCATAAGCAGTGAAGCACATGGCAAGTGATACTGTATCGAATCCGCCAAAGAAAAATATAAATGCTTGCGCAGTCATATCCTGAATAGTCAAATCTGCAGCTTTTCCAGATTCCTTGGCCTGTATCAATAATTGCAACATATCTGGTCTTTCAATCTTCTGAGCGATTCTCGTAGCAATAGTTGACGTAATGATGTCTTCGAAGAAGTTTGATACCCGTTGATTAATTATTCTCAATTTTAATGAGTTTGTCAATTTCGGATTTACCTGGCCTATCATGAATACCATAGATTTAAAAAATCCAAAGGTTGTCGCGTCCTTGCCCATTTTATAAAATTCATTGTCGCGCTCCTTCATAGAATTTACGCTTATTCCAAAGGCTGTTGTTGCAATTATGTCGTTCGTATATCTCGAAAAAGCATCCCTGATTTCCACGATGTTTGTATCACGTTGTGATGTCACAAAATCTGCGAATTCGTTGGCGCAGTTGGACATCAGCTCAAACATCATTTTCATTTTGCTCGACGTAAAGGCGGGGCTCAAGATAGCTCGCATTTCTCGCCATTTGTTTCCGCGTAAAGAAAAGAGATTTTTTGCAAAAAGTGGATCGAGTTCTGGATTGGCCAATGGTTTATGATCCACAAAATTGTCAAAATGTTTAATTCCAATTTCTTTGATGAGTTCAAGATCCCGTATCATTATTGATGGTAACGTAAAATCATACATCCCTGCGTACTTTGCTTTTGGCATTGAATCATATAACAGCTTTGATTGTTCTATAAACGATCTTATCCTTAAAATCACTGGTCCACGATTGCCCACTAGAATGTGAGATTTCAAATAAGGAATTCCCATCTTTTCGAAATAACTGTGGTGTCGTTTTACGTACACGTATATAAAAGCAACTAATGCTGTCACTATACCGACGGTCCATACATTCCACCATTCCGAAAAGCTTGCGATGAACGTGTACATTTTTGTACGAATTTCCTTTGTTGCACGAAAACAAAATTGTGTTAAATGTCAACTATTCATATATTCCGAATAGCACAGCTTACTTGAGACTGACCGCACAGTGAAGCAAACTCCTACTTATGTACGTAGATTCGTGTAATCTATAATTTCATATTATCAATATATTTTTTCAAAGCATGTTATGATAACATAGGACTGATGAACATTATATAGAGTTAAAAACATTTTTATAGTATATTTTTATAGTCGGTTAAGTCCTCTTATCTATTTCATGAACTACGATAAGTTCATCTTTATTTACACGATATCGCTCAACGTTTTTTCATATTACACGTGCACATGAAGCAACACTTGATTTAATACAAATAGCCATTCTCAACAAATACTATTGTTTGACATATGAAATCTCAGTATACTCAATTGCATGTAACGTGCTATTCTCTCAATGATTTGGAAAAGAATGATCCTACATGAACTGCAGACTCTTTTAAGAAGGGTACTAAATACTATAACAATTGGACGACTTTGACGTAATACAGTTTGATTAATAGTACCTATTACAGGGACAATGGATGTCAAGGGTAAAGTAATGAAGCGAGAAAAACGATTCATTCCTATGATCTGTTCTAGTTGAAGAAAATGAGTATCAACTTGATAGTTTAATCGGATGAACATTTTATTTTACGTGTGTAAGTGAGGTGTTTTATACTATATCATTGCTGAAAATCTGATACTATTTATTTTGCTACTTTCTACAATGGCATGTTCTAATAGGAAGTTGTGTAATGTATGTTTTGCTATGAATCAATTATCATATTACAGTGAAAAATCGTCTTAAGGAGAATCATAATAAAATAAGAAAAATTAAGAATATAAGTAAAATTTGTAATGAAGAAAAATTTGTAGAGATGTCAAATGACGTAAATTAGTACCACTTTCGTTAGTCATGCAGAAATCTCAACTATGAGTGAATCAACATAGTTTAACATATCAATTTTATCTTGAACGTATCTTAGCACACATATGTCATATCAGTGGTTATGATATTTTTTTACATCACTATTTACATAATAAATGACTGATACTCGTTTAGAATTAATTTTGAAATACGAAAGAAATATAAAGTATATGACAAATGGACATTAGTATATGAATTCTGTGTAATGGAGTTTGAAGTGGACGAGTACTACATGCAAAATAATTTTGTTCCAACCAATTAACAGCAAACCACGTCTAAATAAATGGTTGCCAGTTGAGCGCAATTGCAACGAAGTATAATAGCACGAACGCGTTGATATTATCGGGTCCATTAAGTCCATCGAGTGAAGTGAGCTATGAGAGTCAAATGGAAATGGTATCGTGAAATGATAGTGCCATAAGCGCAAGAAATTATTTTCCATAAAACGAGAATTTAAATATACATATACAGCAAAAAATGAGCTATTTGACCAAAAATTCTTTCTGATGTCAATAGCACAAATTTTCTACGAAGATGAAGGTTAGGATTAGAGTAGTTACTATTAATAGTACTCTTTTGTATAATGTTTACGAGTGGCAGTGAGAAAAGAGTGAAAAGAAGAGAGTGAAAAATTTCACGTTTCACACAAAAGTTCACGGATGGTTGAAGCTGCGGTAAAGGGAGGAAAAACGCTTGGAAAAGTATCGTCGCGCTAATCTACATAAATCGCAGCTAGCATTCTACACTTCGCTAACTACCGGAGCAGGCGAAGCTGAGATCTTTATGGTAGCAATAAACCCAACCTTGCTGCTTCGAGTTACAAATGACTACTGGTTGCTGAAAACTATTGCTGCATATACCGCAAGCTTCCGCTTCCGTACTGGCCACACAGCTTCTATCAAATGGGACCAGCTATAAATTCTGCTAACGTACACCGCGCAAGGATCGCGTTAATAATTGTTATTAAATAGCTCGTAGTATTATGGGGTGCGTTCTACCCTACCCTATGGCAAAGCACCATGAAAATTGAAACTGATGCTTTTTATACGGAGTTACCTGACTTAAAGCCTAGTCCATAACACATAACTAGATTCGATATTCATGGGCTTTATAAATATGTCAGTTGTGTGTTATATTTAATCCTTTGTCTTTTGTGTGCAGATTTTTATTAGGTATTTTATACAGCAACAACGGAATTTCGAAAGGATACTTTGTGTCGTGTGTAGGAGGTGAAATATGAATGAAATAAGGGTGAAGCTAGGACATTGAATTATAATAGTATTATATTATTTCGAATGTGTACGTGTTATTAAGATGCATCTAGTTATGGATCGAATGCCAAAATATAGGGGAAGCATAGCGAGTGTATGTATTTGGGTTTGACCACTCGTGACGCATAATTCATAATCCCATAGAAACGGACAAACACGTGTTTAATGAACGGTTTAATGAATTTGGTGAAGTCCGTTCCGCGGTACGTTATGCTACGCATATTAATAACTATGTTAATACTTGCACTCAATCCTTTCCGACCTAATGAAAAGCGACTAGCGGGTATTTGTATTTTCATTGCACGAACAGCCTTCGCGTACACGTATCAGCCTCCGTGAATCAATTGACACTGGACACATATACCTACGTGTCAAAACCGAGATATATAGAAGTTTTTAATATCGATGACCGATACATTTTTTTTAGAATGATTCAATAATCGACTTGTTTCAATTAATTTAATAATTTTTTTAATTTTGTTTTCTTTTTCCGTTTTTTCTGCATTGATTACGCATTAATACGCCAAATGAATAGTCCATTTGTTAATACGGTAAGATATTTATAATGATTAGTTCGTGTTAGCGATTATATTGGTGTGATGCACCTTATTTTTGTTAATTCAATTTTCTCGAATTGTTTTATTTTATATAATTGCCAATCCACAAGCAAAATAGTTTAAAGTGCCAGATGGAAAATTACGAAGCCCATGGGAAAAATTCGCTTTGCTGATGTATTCTTGCCAAAAGTAATGCGTGACAAATCAATGGAAAACCATTTATTTTCTTTGGCAAAACATTATTGGTGATTGAGAAATTTCGCTACGGGAGTCCGTAGTACGAAACGCGTGTTCCCATCTAACTATTCATATAGTGCATTCGAGTACGGTCTGACACACATTTTTTGGCCTTCGTAAATTAGAATAGGTAGCTGAGTTTTCTGTCTGTGCGTCTAGACATTCAAACCGAATTCTCTTCAAAGGAAGAGCTCGGGCAGTGCCTTGCAATGGACATATGAACTGACCAGAGTAACTGCTTGGGTGATTTGAACTGAAGTGTTATAGTTATTTGATTTACATGTAGTGCATGATATAACGATTATAATAACATTCATAACTATGCGATGAATTTTAGATAATAGCATAGACTTCGTTCAATTAATTTTACCATATTTGATGCAATTCAGGTTCAATGAAAACAAATCAATTGCTTTTCACTATATCTCGTATAAATTATTTTTTCCAGATATGCAATGTACTAAATTTGGTTGTCCTCACAAATAGCAAAGCTAACACCGAGTTTTGCTAGAACTGAAAAAGGCAGAGGCAAGGCAATCATAGAGAAAGGCGAAGAAGATGAAAAAAAGGACAAAAGAAAAAATGAATAGGAAATCGTTGCTGTAATAGAACGAACTGAGGACAGAGCACGAACCAAATGCAATCTATACAGACATATTCTACGATAACCGCTTCAGATTTCAAGGATTTCCAGGATCAAGCTGCTTTCGTAAAACTTTCACGTCTTTACAATATTATTCACACAATTCTGAACATAAGGCGATCGCTATTACACGAATCCGTCCAAATGATTCCGCAGGATTCTATATTTTTTTAAACGTAAGCTTAAATATAAGTTCCGCGTATGGCTATATTATCGTTTAATGTATGATAAAAAAATGTATGCAAATGTAACGTCTGAACGACTATTGCATATTATCGATAAAGCAGGAAATGGAAGATCGATCGATTCTACTCTATCGATTTTTAAATATCCTGTTTAGGTATGAACCTTTCGGAATTTTACACAGGATCGGCCTTTTACTTGCGTCCTAAGACGTTAAGTCACGTAACTTGTTGATAAAGATCGAAGAGTTACTCACGGTTGACGTGAACTCGAAAAAATATAAGCTTTAGGGGTATTTGGATTCTTGTTGAGCATCACGTTATACTTTTAGGTACAAAATAAAATTATCAGTAGAACGATATTTATAAATTGAAAGCTTGTAAGATATAATTTGTAATAAATCATAGAATTATTTTCTATCTAGAATTATTGTCGGTTGGGAGAACAAGGGAATCGATAATTCACTTATTCGCGTTGCTTGATATTTCTAGGCCTTAGTAACCATTCAGGACTTTCTATGGCCGCGCGAAATGCTATTAGGCATTTTGATGTTGGAAAACCTCGTAGGGGACAACGAAAAAAAGGTCCTTCTATGAGCAAAAAGGATCACTGCATGTCGAAGTGCATCACATAAGAGAGAGTGAAATAGAGCTGGAAGCCAGCCAGTTAGGCAGCCGCCCAACCGTCCAGCTAGCAAGGCAGTCAGATAGGCAAGCACTTGCTGGCTAGATGGGTCGTCAGTAATTGCCCAGTAATTGTGTTTGCTAATTGAAATTACGGCATCCTACTGGACGTAACTCGACTACGGGATAACACACGTGATCCGTAGGACGTTTCATGTCATTGACTGCCAAGAAAACTCCTGCCAAAGATATTCGCCATTACATCGCCCTGTTTCGTAAAACGTAAACTTTCGTTTCTTTGTCATCGTCTACGACAGGGCGTGTTTTCAAAATAGCTATTATCTGTTAGATTACTATTCATAATTGGAAGGCGATTGAAAAATTAATTTGGGTCGATAATACGGGTCGTTACGAATAATTAAATACCGTGATAAGGAAATTCAATAAATTTAGAATTAATTGAAGTCAGGTTAGAGATATACAATGTAAAATATAATTATTGGAATATTACGCAAGCGTTCACGTGGATGGCAAGATGGATTGCTGATATAATTAGGTGATTAATTAAAACGTAACCAGGCAATTGGCAAAGGAGAAGTGAGACGGCTGAGAAAAAATTCTTTCATTCGGTTTAATAACCTGGTTGATAAGATAGAGGAAGTGGGGTGAGGTTGGCTGATGGGGTGGGGTAAGGGAACAGCATAAGGTAGGCGCAACTCGTGAGAGGAGTGCACGGCGAACAGTTGCAGAAGCAGCAGGGATAGATTTTTTAATTTTGCGAATTCTTAATTATTTCCCAAGCTAGTTTTAAAGCCTCTTCGCTTCGCTCGGCGGGCTCGGGCTGATACCGCCCCGCAACACAATCTTCTGCCTGTAATTGAAAAGGGCTGAAACTCGTATTCTCGGAAGGAACTGCCCCACCTTCATGCTACGGTTTTACGTTCCGTCCTTCACCTTCCGTCTTTTGACCATCCTCCCTTAAACACTTCACCTCCTCTTTATTCTCGG